TATATATAGGATCATATGAAGATCTTCCCCCCAAAGTATCCAACTGAAGATCCTCCCCCCCCCAGTCGCGCTCATATGAAGATCCCCCCCAACATATAATATAAATAAACAACATAAGGATGACCACTAACCTAACCTAACCTAACCTTAGCTTAAATTAGGTTAGTTTAGGTTAAGTTAGGTTAGGTTAGGTTAGGTTAAGTTAGGTTAGGTTAGGTTAGGTTAGGTTATGACCACTAAATGTGGTCATAGTGACGTCAGGTCAGGTAAGGTCAGGTTTGGTCATTGGTCAGGTCAGATCCTCCCATCCAGGCTAGATCATATGAAGACCCTCCCCCCCAAGTAGGTTTGGGGGGGAGGGTCTTCATATGATCCTATATATATATATATATATATATATATATATATATATATATATATATATATATATATATATATATATATATATATATATATATATATATATATATATATATAGTCAAAACATGAAATACAATGACAAAATTATTTTAAATATAAAATAATTTTGTCATTGTATTTCATGTTTTGACAATCAAGTTTTTCATTTTAACTTTAAACTCAATGACTCGGCGCAATCTCTTACCTGCTCTCGTCTCCGCGGTGACATCTCCTCCCACACGTGGGCTTCTCTACTTTAGCCATGTACAGTATATAAGTCCCCTGCGTGAGGTGGCTCGACCATTACGCTCTCTCTTCTCTCAGCCACCACACCAAAGATCCCTCCTCTCAGTGACTGCCCACCCGTCAACCAACAGGTAAGCATGGCGGTCCCGGAGCGTTATGGTTTCATCCAATATTTTAGGAAGTGTTTGTCTTTTTTGACGGTTAAGGTGCTGAATGTATGCAGTTATAATCTTATTCTGCATTTCCTTATCTAACTCAGTGGTCCTAAAATTAGGAAAAACTAAAAGATTTTTTATAATACTTTGAGATATCATTGGATCATCGAGAAGAAAAGATGTTTTCTAATTGCATGCTGCAACGGCAAACAAACCGACGTATAAACTAATAGTTATGCACTTGCACTAATTATTTTTAATGTTGAATTTTTACATAAGCAGTCATTTCTCTGGAGTTCATCCAATTTTTTACACTGAAGTTGAAAAAGTCCACAGCTATTTTGAACTTATATATGGTAGTCTTGTCACTCGCGAGACAGACAAGCAGACCGTGTGCATAATCACCCACGATCTCTTCCAAATGGTAGTTTGGTGGATTCCATTGGTGTCATAGTTCACTATATTGGGCTGTAACAAGGATATAAAATAATCGAGATGGTCGAGTGCAATGCTGGCCACGATTGCCTTACTGAGTACGGAAGGTTTAGTAGGTAATGTGTTGTAACCACACCGTTCCTACCAGACCGTTAGGTTTATGGGAGCCATTTTCACCTCACGAGGTTCATCTCGATAGCTTTTTACAGTACAAAGGCTGAAGTACAAAATGCATGCCAGCCTGCCGTCCTGCTGACCCACTAAATTGTATAATCCCAAACAAGAAGATAAAACAACACACCCACACGAGACGACAGTCAGAGTTTCAGGAGACTAATCAGTTTCACCACGGGTAGGGAACTTTTGACAGCGACTGTACAATGAAGAGGTTATTTGTATATACTGTAGATGTAACTACAAGACTAACCAAGGGCAGTAATGTCTTGAATTTCTTGTATGGGCTCAGTAAAACTAGTGTTGTCCCTTATAACACCTACTGTATGTGCCGTACATTTAACTTAACATTTGCATGTACAATACCATGTTTTACTGACATATATCTTAACTATATCGTTACTTAGTATATAATTTATAATTCGGATATCTAAACCAAAGTCATTGCACAGGACGTACCATTCTGTAAAATAATGTGCACTTGTAGGATTATACGATATGATTGAGTAATTAGTTTCAAAGTTATCCAGAGGAATTTAATACTGTATATGGGTCATTAGAAAATCACTGAGACATAATAACACTGTTTTTCTGTTATTAGAATATATTTACAATAACATTTAACTAACTATTTTTCAAAGGGATACAGTACTGTATAACACAAAATAATTTGATGGTACAAAAGTCTTACATGTGTTTGTTGGCGGCAGACATACACTATGCGACCAGTTAGTTGTGTTGGACATAAAATATTAAAGCACACAAATATCTAACTTAGTTAACTATCTATCAAGACATTGTGTTTAAATTTCTAATATTTTTTGTTGGGCAGATTTAAAAGATGCGAGGGTGACACTATTAAACTGATCTCATCATCTCGATGATGATACATCATACCACAGTAGAAATTTTCCTGTAGAAAATGCTGTCACTCACTGAGGACACTATAACTTATTATCATCCATTTTGGAGTGTATCATAATATACCTTATAAAGCTTATACATTTCCGCTTTATCACTAATTCACTTTGGCAGAAAATAATTAACAACTTTTCTCTTTATTATATATACAGGCTACCGATTTTTAAGGTATGACACGGACCTACTCCTATGACGAGAACGGAAGAGATAAGCATAATTGTATGTGGCTTTCTTATTGTGGTTTCTAAGTCTTTCGGGTGAAAGATATTCTCATAAAATCTGACATGGGTATAGACGAGTACACTGTACATTCTAGTTAAAATATTTTAGAGTTCAACGTTAAAAAATAAGCCAAAGCAGGGATGATCGGAACGCATGAGGGGGGGGGGAATTTTGGTTAGAAGTCAAGTAGGCATTAAAGTAATTTAATGAATCTTATTAATATTAAAACCAGAGTGGGGACCGGATGACTAGAGATGAAAGTGTATTGCATTTATGTTATTGTGGAAGGCCCCGTTTGTTACAACTGCAAGCTTCTACTACAGTATTGTTAGAATTGCTGTAATAGCCTACCAATTAATAAAATTTCATTTCACACTTGTTTTTTGTGTTTATATATTTCTTATTAATTTAAAATCTTCCCAGTTAAAGTTGAATGGGGTATACAGGACTGTACTGTTCTGTCTGTCTGTCCTACCAGGCATCACGTGTTAGAGTTTATTGTTTACGTGATTACTTGTTCCTTTGTTCTATAGAAAGCTTTACTAAAACTTGACAGAACTGTTACTTATTGATTTAGATTTTATATTGTGCATACAAGATTTTTTTTCACAATATGGAAGTGTGAACTTTACCATTTTTTAGATGATTTATTCAAACGGGACTTAATTTTTCACAGAATTTTCGTGAATCCTTACTGCCTTTTGTCCGTTGATTGAAGATATGCTCATGATTTTATTTCGTATTTTAATGATTTTTTATAAGAATAAAAAACAGTCTTGTCAACAGTGTCGTAGTAATACGTTATTTCGTTCCAAGATAATTGTAGTTTTTCATTCATCGTCTTTTGTACTGCCATATACAGTATGTTGCTTGAATGATAATTCCAGACCACTATGAAATACAGGAGTTCTTCTGTCACGTTTTTATCACTCGATGAACTGCTGCGAAAGGAAGACACGTCCGGCACATAGAACTATTATAAAGTAAAAATATATTGCTGAGTATGTTGTTATTGTAAGGGTTCAAGAAAATATTCCCACCAGCTGACAACATTTGTAAGAGTTATACTTTTATAATGTTGATTATTTCTATTTTATTTCTATTTTTATAACTTATATGACCTTCTTGGTTATGTTTCTCTTATTTCCTTTATTTTTTAAGTCTTTCTTTTCTTTATTGTGTATTTCCTCTTTCTTACCTTTATTCTCAGCTTTACTTATTTATATTCTGTTCAGTGGATTAACCATGGGAAAACTACATTCTCTCTATTCTCACGCACTCGTGTAATTACGATATACAGTACTTACATAGTAAGCTGCCACCACCCAGGCTTTTCTTTAGAATATACTGTAACTTATACAATGAACAAGTGGTAGTGCGGTAGACACAAGAGGTTAGGCACGTGAGTCTTTCTGGTATTTCCTGAGATGCCAACTGTTACAAGAAAGGAGTGGTGATAGTCACATTCTAATGAATCGATATTTATTAAAATCACCTCTGAATATTATGACAAGTTGAACCTTTACTCACAACAATAAAGTTTAGGTTCAATCACTGATTACTGTAGCACTTAGACAAAACTTACCAATAGGTCTTACTAGATAAATAGTAAAAGAAATCTTCAATTAACCATTAAGGTACATTCAATACATATACCTCTTTAAGGGAATTATTATACATCACTGACAATAAAGATGGTCACTAAATACTTGTCAAGAGCACACACTGGTGGTATTATTTTAGAGCAACATACTATTACAAGGAAACATATACCAGCACCTCAGCTGTAAGTATACAGAGATGGTTTATTCACATATAACAAACTCTAATATTGGTAAAAATAATACTTTATGGTTTCAATACTCAACCTGAGACAATTATATTCCCGATAATCATCCACAGTCATGTACAAGAATAATTCTTAGCACATTATAAATTCCAATGGCATTTAAACTACATATATCATAGTGTTGCAAAAACTACAAGCAAACTTTATACTGGTGATAACATTTCACCCGGGGATCCAGTTGTCACAGCGAAATGGATAATTCACTAGAGGTCTCACAGACTGCCATCAACTAGAAAGACCACTGACTTCTAGCATTGATATTAAGATGGCAATAAAAACCATAACACGAAATAGTCGTCATGAACTTGACTTTACACGTCGCATCATTTCACAATTCAACATTGATTGTTGCCTGCTAAGTAACTGAAAACGTCTTAAAAAAGTATGTTTGTATCCCAAAGTTAGCAACATTTCCGAAAATATTTCATATAACCTGTATTAATAATAAAGAATACACATACACACACACACACCATATATATATATATATATATATATATATATATATATATATATATATATATATATATATATTTTCATGGATTTAAGAACTAGTTGTGTTTCCAATGAATTATTATTGAGGTAGTTCTCTAGCAGATATGCAGTTATGTGGTTGTCGTGTTATGACCGTTGTGGGCAGTACCACAGCCTGCTTCATCACCAACTGTCCACCAGGAGGAAAGAGGTCGGGTCCCACAGCACAGCTTGGCCGCACCCGCACAGTGAGTCCCACCCCACGTTCATATGTTCTTCTCACGTATTATCGCCCAATCCGACATGATTATTAAGAAATGTGATGGCACTTAATGTAAAATTATATTCAGTGAAATAGTTAATAATCAATTTGTATAACAAGAATGAATGAAATTCACTTCTTATCTTAACTAATAAATTAATGAGGTAAATAAAAGGATAGATAAAAATTTTGGATGATTTTTAGTGAAACACACACACACACACACACACACACACACATATATATATATATATATATATATATATATATATATATATATATATATATATATATATATATATATATATATATATATATATATATATATCAGACTTAAGGTAGAAGTATCTAGAAATGCGTAGATAGACACAGTAAAGACATTGATTTATAAGTTAAACAAAACGGATATGTAGGTAGACAGATATGGTAAGTGCTTTAGAGAGATTCGTTGTACTGACGTGTGGTGGATGTGGTGGACAGTGCACGGCTTGCGGGCCTGGACTGCAGGGAAGGTGCCTGGGGCCAGAGATATGCTGCGTTTTAGGAATTGGTTGCTTCCTGGGAACGAGGGAAGCCAGGATGTGCCACGCTGAGAACCTAGTGCCTGTTACCTGCGCCAACCGGGATCTCAAGTCCTGTGGCAGGATGCAGGAGGGCCGCTGTGCCGCCGCCGGACTCTGCTGCACCGAAAGTACGACTAGACACTATTCACCGCTGTTCTCTTTTGGTATACATTTACTAATTGCATAGGCGCTTTTAGTATTGTCTTTTAGCTCTGAAATTGATGTAAGTGCATGTATCACTGAGCTGCGACGTCCTTCACAGGTATGTTTCGATTTGTCTGGGGTGTGTATGCATACTTAGAGCTTTTATCGATGTCTTCTAATGCCTGGTTTTCAGCAAGAAGTTATCATTTCAGGGGTCAAATGAAAACTATAGCGCCTTGAATCAAGGACCTAAGTCCTAGATGAAGGCGCTTATGGCCAAAGTTTGTTGCTATCAATTCAATGGTGTTTAATACAATACATTTTTGCGTTCCATGCTGCTTAGTCATATGACAGGCTTTATAGGAGTAAAAAGAAATTAAAAATAGAAGATATAAAGACTATATTAATCTACACCACGAAGATGCCGGAAACCATTTTTTTTGAAGTGTGATATTACTGTACTGTACATTGTTAATTTCTTCAACACATTGTCTTCAGAACTACTCTCAAAATTACGAATGCCAAGTTAGTTTTAGCCTCCTGTTTCTCATGTCATCTCGAGTTTTTCCTCCAAGTTCATCACATTGTTCTGTGCTCCTGAATCTAGGATCCCTCCACTAGTGCATCTTCAACATTCATCCCAGACATATGGATCTGCACCTTTATATCATCAGCTCTGCATATCTGATTATCCATTCGGGTGTTTTTGGTCGTACGTTTTCATTCTACACTTTATTTTACACTTTTCTTTAGTTCATCACTTACTTGTGTTTAGCTTTCAACAAGTAGTTTTGATGTACCAGATAACTTGCCGCTCTCCTACAGTTTCAGCATCAATGGTAAAATGTTTTGTAAGTCAATTTCTATTTCTTAATACTCTACAGTACCATACTCTCATCCACTTCTTTCCTCCATTTAAGCTCTTATGACAATGTTTTTATTGTTTAATTTTTTACTGATGTGTCATTGTGCCATTATATTGTATTCCTAGCTCATTTCTTTAATTATTATTATTTTTTATGTATCTATTGTTTTCTCCAAGATACTGTACTCAACATAGTGTCTTCAGTTGGATGAGGGAGATGTATAAGGGGTGGAGGATGTGTTCTAGGCCCCGTTTTGCTGATCTGATATCTGGTGTATGTCTGTGTGGCAGATAATTGGTCAATCCAGCGACTATCAATAATGGTATTCAAACTGCGATTTCAGTTAGGATATGAAAGGTTTATTATCACACGTATTTTTCCTTTCATTTTTTACAAGCATAGTATTACCTCGGCGTACACTAAAATAACGTTGATGATACTACATGATTACTGAACAATACAGCTCTGTTTAAAAAGGGAGTGAGGAAAGTGGACAACGGCCAAACTACTATCATTCTTCTTCCCACTAATATGTGGGTGTTGGTGGTACAGTGGTAACGTGCGTACAGTATCTCTCACGAATATGTCAAGGGTTCGAATACTGCTTGGCTTAGACAAACGTGAGAACGATTTTGTCCAGTGTGATCCTCATCACGGGTTGCTAAGAGTCCGGTTTCTATTCCTACTGTACACTGACTGGACCAACCACCCGATCGGCTGAAGTGGTGAATTGATGAAAAAAAAAACTGTACAGGTAGGTGATGTAAAACATTGTCATGTAGATATGCGTGTTACATAAAATTGATAGATTTTACGAAACTCTGTGTGTTCTAGCGCATATGGTTTACCAGCTATTCTCTCGGACCATAATTATACTATCCTGCCATGTCAACATGTGCATGATGTATATACTTGCATGCTTCCATATGAAAAGTATTCATGGCATTATGTTTCTTCTCACATAAGCTGCATGTATTAGTATGTATGTTTCTACCAGCAATCAGCATGGATGGCTAGTATACAATACGTACCATTGTGTAAGCTATCATATCAGTAACATAATACTTATATCGGTGTATTTTATCCGCTAATAAGTCTCAATGTATGTACAGTATTCAGTCGTGTGAACAGCACAATGGTCAGTTTGAGGGGTAACTTGAGTATTTCCCCTACAGTGAAGTGTGAATTCGACAGCAGCTGCACGGTGGAGGGTCGGGAGGAGAGAGTTGGGAAGCAGCGGGCGGAGAGACAACACCTTACCTTCCTGTCCAGTTTGCCCGAAGACCAGTGGAACCTGTGAGCATGTCCTCCCTCTCCCTGGCTGCTACATCGTCCTCGGCCTGGTGATGGCAGCACCAACACATACCTCACATGAGTGATATGTTGTATGTGGTGACCTCCTCCGATTCATATTACCAAATTTATAATTGAAAGTTAACTTTGTTCCACTAATGGAATTATGAACATCTACTGCATGTACGTAACCCGATCTTTAGTACTTATGTAAACTAACAATCTACGACATCAAACACTTAGACATGGTGGCTGTGTCAAAGAGTTGGATCTCTGTTTAAAAAGGAAAAGGTTAACCTTGTCATAAATGCTCCCTCCCCTTGAGGGTGTCATTTTATCACTGAATAAAGTGTACCCTATTTATTCTCAGAGTTTTTCATTAATATTTTTGTCGTCTTTCTAGATATCTGATTATTGAGAATTTATTCTATGAAATATCATATTTGAAGCATATTGAGTACACATATACATAGGAGAACGAAAAAAAAACAATAAATATATATAAAAGCCTCTTATATAAAAATTTACAAATGATAATTCCATATACTTAACATAAACAGCATTACACTGAAATGCATCATTTTATATACAAAACTTACGAATTTACTTATGAAAAGAATTGATCACATAACAGTTTCAAGTCATGAAGGAGCGATGCCCATCAGTGTGATGGGAGTTGCAGGTTTTCTATACCACTTGTTGGGACGCACCACCTGGAAAGACGATGATGGTAGGGAGGCCACTGGTCGCCCCCAGATTGAAGAAGGGAGATCTCACCACCGGGGACTTGGCCGAAGCTCCTCCCACATCACCCTTTGCAACCTGAAAAAGATGGTGCTTAAATAAGAACTAGACACTCAAACTGATACTCTTCAGGTGAAGTAAAAAAAAAAAAAAGGTCAAAAGACATATTACAGGTAAAGAATAATCCAAATTCGCTGAACCACTGCAGAAAAGATTGATCATGAGCCACAATTAGTCATTCATCCCACAACAGTCGGTATTACCCTCATATACCATACGAGCAGTGTGGATTCGAAACCTGCAGGAGCAATAGTGTTTGTTTGTGCATTTCACTCGCATCATTGTAAGTTTATGTGTGGTTATTTCATTGAATTCCGCATATTCGTAGATGTGAGTAACAGATGCTACTGTTTCCCTAATGATGGCGGGTCACTTGGTAAAGCCTATTTGTTGTACTCTGTCAGAGTTCAGATTAAATTCTTGGGCCAGCAATGGTAGGTCATGCTCAAATAACTACAGGTCATTAGTGGTACAGTTGGTAGCGCCTTCTTTTACCTTCTGAGACTGTCATGAAAACAAGAATGATGAAGCTGACAGTAGCTAGTAGTCTCCAACGAATAAGCACTCAACAAGTAGACGCACGGAACAAGACAGACACCTATGCCCCTCCGAATGTAGTAACACAGTGCTACTAGTCAAATATTCAGATTTAAAACAGTGAAAAAAGTGCATTTTGGTGCAAATCTGGATATTTCTTATAATCAGGTGTCTATAACAAAGTAAAACTTGGAAATGCACAAAGAAAAAATATATAATTTTGTAATAAAGAAGCACGTGTTCGGATTTACTCTTGGGAGAGACACTAATAAAAAATATTACTCATTTCAATAGAGAGCAGACAAAAATGTAAGGGTACGTGGGTGCAACGGTGCCGGAGAGAAGACTTAATTAATAAGAAGAATTCAGTGATATGTGAACATTTTAGTAGTGAAAAGAATATAAGCTCGAAATCTAAAGTATGAAATATTGGGTTGTGATCTGGCCAAATATTACCGGGATCTGAAACCAGTTGCAATATCTGATATAAATCTACCAGTCACCAGCGGGTCAAGGAGTTCTGATGCTGAAACACAAAATACTGAAAATAGTCTTCTCAATAATAAAGGTCGGTATGATTTAGTGTATTAGATAACTTATATTTCAAAAATTTCAAATTTTGTCTGAAACCTTGGGTAAATGTTTATTAGCGCCTCGACATGTTTTCCGTCATTTTTTTTTAGTAAAGAGTAGTTTTGTTTTGGTAGAAACATGAAGCTTATGTTCTATACCATAACCTATTCTTATGCCGTGTAACCAAACCTAACCTAGCCTAGTTTGTCATTACTTCCTAGATGGAAATGTAGATCATTAAAGTATTTTAATAAATAGCAAAGTTATATTGCTTTGGATGTGAAAAAACTGACTATCAGATCATGTCTTTAGGCAGTCCCCGACATGCGAACGGGTTGATGTTCTCGAAGCTTAGATTAGTGGAGATGGCTTAGGGATAGACAGGGAGCACTTTTCTGATCAATTAATTTGAAGCAAGAATTTTTTTAGCAAAAAATTGCGATACATTTCTTCAAAATGTGGTCACACGGTAGTTCTTGCTCCAGTTTCTACAGCAAGAAAAAAGTCTTAGAATAGTCTAATCTATTGTTAGCAAAGAAAAAGAACGAGATTCGGCAGGTGGCAACAAATGCAATAATAGCTTATTTTTTCTAGTAGTTTTCCGATTTTCAACTCCCTATATCTAGATTATGGGTAAAATGCGCCAAAAATGTCATAGATGAAAATCGTCTTTTGTTTGAATTTATCATTAGCAACAACAACAAAAAAGATCGAAATATATTCTGTGCTATAAATTGACCTTTGTTATATACAGGTATATGTAAATACTTATTAAATAAGCTTCGTGTCATTAATACATTATTAGCCGTGTTTTGACCCGGGAATGTTGCTCGAAATCACCAAGATCACGATCGTCCAGTAAAACTGCTCCAAAAACTTGATCGAATTTCTGTAAAATTCATCAAAATAACTCAGTCCAGAAATTGGTCATAAAAGCGCTCGTGTGACCGCAACTTTAGACAAGGATGCGAGCTTTTCCCAACACTTTATAATGACTTCAGAATTTTTACTGACAGAAGTTGTAAGCTGTAGTGAAGGAAATAAAGTGATTGGAAAACTAATAAAAACTAATCGATATGCAGTTGATACTACTCTTATTACAGATAAGTAATAAACACCACAGAAACAGAGGGGGAGGGTGGAGAGTATGGGCTAGATTTTGCTGTGGATTTAGTATAGCAAAAATCTTGAGATCTATTCGTTGCTAAGAGATTTTGTGCCTGGTGAATGTGACACACAATTCACGTTTTAGCATATGGCTGTTAGAGTTAATACTGTTAAGGCAGAAGTAATGGTGCTTCCCAAAGACAAAGTTAACCCTAAAATCAAAATTACATTAGGCAACAGGAACTTATGTGGATAATTTTGTTTATTTTTGGATGTAGTATAAGCTGTGATGGTAGAAGTGGAAAAGAAATTAAGAGAAGAATAGTTCAAGCAAAAATATATTAGTAATCTTAGAGATTTGTTAAAAGGGGCCGTAATTATCAGTCTGAAAAAAAAGGATGCTTAAATGTTACGTATGGTCAATACTATTACAAAGATTAGTCAGAAGCGTGGACTCTTTCAGTACTTTGATTGGATGATGTATTAGAACCCAATAGAAATCTGTGGTCCTTTACTTCTCTTTCCTACTGTTGAAACGTCGTAATATAAGATACTCTCAATTACAGTATTTCCTTGAGTATGTTTAAAAGAATATTACACATGCAATATCAGTTGAGAGAACTTTTAACCTGTAGGTCATTTTCATGTGTTACAACTCCATTAATTGCCACCCCGTTACTTTATTATAACGCCTGTGAATTGCTTAATAAAAAATAAATAAATCATATAAAGATTTTAAACTCATAGGGCTCGCATACAATGACAGGCCACACTGAGCCTGACATCACGCTCATTCTGAAAACTGACAAGGTAGACGCGCTCTACTGGAGTTCTCATATCCAGTGCACCTAATTGTTGTCGTTGAGTTTATTACTTTGGGTGGTCCTAACACCAGTTAAGAGGTCACTGCAGCCATGATTACAAAATATATTGATAATTACCTATTAGTTTTTCTGGAACATAATATTTCATTTGAAATGATAAATAAAATAATAAATAAACTATTTATGATTAAAGAATAACATTGGTTTTACACCATAGCCACAACAGTCGCCGGGCTCAAATGTGATTGCAAACATCTCTTTACATATATGTATGAAACGAAGGGTTGCATTACAAATATTGCAACTAGGGCTTAACTGCCACGCGTTACTACAGAGCTTATACGAGAGTTGTTCATTTCTGTTTCCAGTAAAAGTAAGGTAAAACAATTTTATTAAAATTATACGAAATTAGAGAAACAATTAAAGCATAATTTCATTTTCATCACGAAATATTTTCCGGTATCTGTAAACAGATATCTTGAAATGTAACGAATGGTCTTGGAAAATATCGAAGCTGTTTTTACGTCCCGGGACTATTCGATAGATTCATTTAAGATCTATGTAGACTCATTTAACTTTGATCATCATTTGCGAATGACTTTGCACAAAATCTCACTCATGAACTTAAAAACCATTTGTTTTGGGAGAGTGATAAGTCCTGATATTCACGTTGACGAAATGATTACTGGATAAATTTGTCTTGTTCATTACACCATTTCAGTCGCCTGACCGTCTAGCACTAGAGGAAAATAAATTTCAAATGTCAGTGGACTAAGCTGAAAAATTACACACACACACACATACATATATATATATATATATATATATATATATATATATATATATATATATATATATATATATATATATATATATATATATATATGTATACGTAAGCTGAATAACAGCCCACACATATTGCATAACAGAAATATATTTATTTGGCAACCCTTCAACAATATCTCTTGTCATCATCGCACATAAAACATGAACTATTGTCGAAACGTTGTCAAATCAATATGTTGCTGGTCATCCATATGTTGGTGGTGTTGTTATTCATCCAACGTATGCACTCTCCGCGAGAAAAGTCAATTGCATCAGTTATTTATATACAGTACGTATATACATATAAATAAGCATTATAAGTGATAAAGCTAATTGTTGTATTATAAACCAGGTTAAGGTGCTGTATGCATATACGTACGTGAGACAAGATGGTCTGTGGAGGTAGAAGAGTGTTAACCACTGACGGAAGAATTGAGTTCCTGTCTGCTTCCTGTTTCCACAATTTATGGAACCTGGCAAACTCTGCTTGCATATCAGGCACAGGTTCGGCAAATGCTAGGGGGGCCTCCACCATGACCTCGTGTGGCTGCTGCTGTTGTAGAGTTGCCTGCTGCATCACTGTTATCGGCTGCGTTTCCTGCACCAGTGTCACTGGTTGTGTTTCCTGCACCAGTGTCACTAGCTGTTTTTCCTGCGCTTCAGGAATCGCAGGGGCCGCCTGCTGAACTGACAAAGGTGCCATTGCGTTCCTTGCTGCCTCGGCCTCCCAAAGGGTGAAGAAATTATTAAATGCAGCGGTCATATCTGGCGCTGGTGTCATGGAAACTGCAGGGGCCTCAGCTTCCTGCACCATCACTACTTCCACTTCCGCTTGTTGCGGAGCTTGTCTTACCTCAACTATCGGCTGTGAGTTCTGCTCTACTACTAGTTGTTCCTGAGCTGGCAGCTTTTCAGCTAATGTTTTTTGAGGAGGCTGTTCTGCTCCTAGCTGTTCCTGAGGTAGTTCTGGTGTCAGTGGCTGTTGTTGTGCCGGTTGCTGGTGTGCTAATGTGGGTGCCATGGAGTTTCTTTTAGCTTCAGCCAACCACAGTTGATGGTAAGCGTCAAAGGCTGCCAATATGTGTGGTACCTCTGGCTGCAGAGCAGTCTGCGGCCTCGCCTCCGTCACCGCTGCCACCAAACACACCAACATCTGGAGACAATAGGATAACCCCATGAAAATATTTACAGCTAAAATATTTCTCTTTGAGCTGACAAACCCTACATGCAAGCCTTCATCTTTATTAGGGGTAATATGAAGGTATTTGATTTCGATGAATACGCAACATTATTTTCAAATATGGTGGATATGGCAGTATTAAAATAAACTTCAAGTGAAAAGTTATATACGTACTCTTGAACTTTGCCTCACTAACTTTCCCAAACCTTAATTAATACCGTCATTTTTACTCGACCTGCGGTCATAAGAGAGCACTGTTTCTTCCTGCATGCTATGTGCAGCCGAACGTTCCTCACCCAAATTCTTTATTATTTAGTACCTTAGAAAGAGCGATTGGGAAGGACTTACTAACATCATAGAAATTCGCCAGGGAAAGTTCCACGATATTATGCCAAATATAACTGACACCAATGTTTTTGGGGAATCTATCTTTAATTCTTCACTCTGTCCTCAACCATTTAGTTCCCTCTCCTCCAGAGGGTCACTGTCAAGCTAGAAACTACACAACACAACACAACATATACAGTATTTATATCATCAACAGGTAAGAATTTAGTGACTGAGAATTTTGGTGCCGGTAACAGAAATGACAGGGGTCTAGGTCGGTGAATTTACAGAATATATATAAAAAAGTCCATTATGAACTAGTGAAGGTCTCAGTGTAAACGGAAGTGAAACTTTATGTTAGCCAACACAAGACATATTTATGGATGTATCGTTCAATGATAAAGTTTAATACGGTTAGTGGTCACAAGTTGGTGCCAGTTTAAGATAACAAAATAATGCATTGGAACAAGATAGTCTCAATAAAAAAAGTAGCTCAGTTGAGTACCTATATTAGCTAACTGTAAGAAGTAGTGTAACTCACTTGTTTACATACAACATAAACTACGTCCTTATCAGCTACATTGTTAGTAGCAAAGATAAGATTGTGGCGTGTCGAGCCCAGTGTGGCTGCAATATAGTGCACGTTGCAGCTTTGCCCAATCAACATTAATTTCCAGATAAAGTTGTGAACAATCTTCTCCAAAGCTTAGTTTATTTCTGTGTTTTGGTTTGACATTCACTAAGTTTTATAAACTGACCACGTGTCTCACAAGGTAGAAAGAGATACTATTAGTGTGTTTACACAATACGAATGTCGTCCCATGTACACATGCATTGATGTATGTATGTGTATGTGTGTGTGTGTGTGTGTGTGTGTGTGTGTGTGTGTGTGTGTGTGTGTGTGCGCACACTACACAGGGTGGTGAAATGCGTCTCATGTAGCAGCATTATGTTAGTGTTAAGGTGCAACCACTGCTTGCTCCCTTTCGCTTTCAGCTGCCGCCGCTGGCTAGCCCTCGTGGCGAACAGGGAAGCAACTTACATAAGTCTTCCCCTGCCAGTACACAACCTCCTCACCATCAAGAATCCTGCTTTGCCTCCTCGTGGCAACGCACGGTAACTGGGTGCCTCGTGGGCCCAGTCTAGATCAAAGGTGTCGGCAGCTTCCATTACTGAGCTTCAGTATGCAGACGACCTCACCCTTGTTGCTCACACTGAACACGACCTACAGGAGATCCTGAACACCTATGCAGACGAGTATGCACACTTACTGTAGGCCTTGATGTGATTCTACATAAGACTCAAATTCTCTTTCAACCTGCCCCTGGTTCAGACACACCTCCACCATCCATCCAGCTTAACGGTATTACCCTCTCTAAGGTTGACCACTTTCGGTATCTCGGCTCCCACCTGTTCACCAGGGCAAACATCGAGGGAAAAGATTCATCATCGGATCAGATGTGCATCTCAAGCCTTGGGCGGACTCCGAAATCGTGTCTTCAGCTGTAGGGAGCTGAAATTATCCACAAAGCCGCACGTATATCGAGCATTGGTCCTGCCCACCCTACTATATGGCAGTGAGACATGGGTCACATACAGGAGGTACCTCAAGGCACTTGAAAACTTTCACCAACGTAGTCTACGTTCCATCCTCCGAGTTCGCTGGGGAGACAAGAGAACAAATGCCAGTATTCTCGATGACACCAACTGTAGGAGCATCGAGGCTACCATTATCCATGAACAACTACATTGGACTGGCCACGTTACCCGCATGGACGACAGTAGACTGCCAAAGCAGCTACTTTACAGTCACCTAACGAATAGTAAACGTAACGCCGGCGGGCAATTGAAAAGGAATAAGGATAGTCTTAAGACAAACCTGAAAAGGTGCCAAATCGATCCCCTTACCGAGGCAGACAAGCACCAACGTCGGAAAGACGCTGCCACCGCCCCTCTCACAGTAAATGGAGCCCTCCACATATGCAACGAATGTGGACGACGCTGCGGGTCCCGTATCGGCCTCTTTAGTCACCTCAAAACTCACTAGCCTAGGTGACATCCATAATAACTCATATCATTGTGTCATAGCTGGATGATCGTCATACCCGATTCCGAGTGACAGCAAAGTAGTAGTAGTAGTGTGTGTGTGTGTGTGTGTGTGTGTAAACTAAGAGATAATGGTCGGCCCCTATCGTGATTCCGTCATTTACGACCAGACAGATTTAGGAATATGATATTATAGTATTCAAATGAAGTTAATATAAATCTATTGTTCCAGTATGAAAGGCCTCTTATTGAGTCACTGTTTAAGATATTAATCTGTCACACAACGGATAACATTGTGGCATACTTTACTTTTTCTTCTTCGTCACTTGTCAGCTTGGATAAGATAACTCTGGGGCACAAAGGTAATAATTAAAGGTAAAATTGACAACGAATTGAAGTTTTAGAATAATTGTGAGGTGAATCTTGCAAGTAAACAAGTAGGATTAATACTGAAATGGTCCGTATCTTTAATTTTTTTTTTATAAGTGATGTGCTACTTACCTCGGAGTAATGTAATTCTGCTAGATCTCCGAGATATGACAAAGGCTGCCAACTGAATGAGAACGTCCAAAACGCGATCACCAAACTAGTACTGGCACTCAGACTCATCGCTCAAAGGGCATTTACCAGGTTAAATGTACTGTACACGTATGGGATTAACAAACGGCCAACTCACTGTCCTTATGGAATAACCTGCCAGATAATGTTGTGACAACACTGAGTGTGGAGTCTTGTAAGCTAAGACTTGACCAACATGGAAAAAGTTCAGATAATTCAAGGGTAATGAGCAATGAAACATTCCTAATTGAAATTGCGCAACAGAAAACAACTGACCACACAATCGACTATTAAAAAAATGCGTTTTTTTCAGCTGAGAAAAACTGCCCTGCCCCCTCCTCAAGAGTTACAGCTGATTGGCTATTGCAAACCTGTCCGATTTTGTCCTGAGTAATGATGTATTTCTAAATGAGTTTATTCATAATCGTTAAGATGACCGTTTCTGACTAGAAAGATATTTAGCTAAATTACATAAAGATACAAATATTCAATATTTCACACATAAGCATGTAGGAAGTTTATCAGAAGTATTATACGTGAATTAACTGATAACCTCGGGAAGCAAATTTACGCTTTCGGAGGATGCATTTAATATATACTTATTTTTACCCACAATAAGGCATACTTAGACAAATTATATATCAGTAATAGTGCATTATGCAAAAATAACATTTTAAAAGATCAGAATCACATTGAAATATTACACGGCCGTCAGCAGAGGCGGGAAAAATACGAAGTAGTTCGCAGTCATATTTCCCGCCTCTGCTAACGGCGTGTAATATTTCAGCTGTAACTCTTGAGGAGGAGGCAGGGTATCTTTTCTTTGGGAAAAAACACGCTATAGTAAGCTGACTTCTTGAGTAGCTTATTTGAGCACCTCCCGTCACTGTTGATACAACATTCTGAGTAGAGAATCTCTGTATGACTTAGTTACTGTTACCTAGTGCTTCTTATTAACTTATAATAGAGACCAGCAAGTAATGTAATGATACGAATGGACATACTGACCAGAAGCTTCATCCTCCTCCAGTGAACACAGAAAACCCGCAACTACACCAACTGAGCAGGGGGAGACCCTTATATACTGGTGCTCACACTGAGGCAGCTACGTGACCTTGTCTGCCGTTAAATACGCCCCGCTGAAAAAGTGATAGAGCGTAGACCGCATAATACCAAACAGCCACGGTCACGGTACCTGGATCCAAGAGGTAAGCAACACCATTATACGTCCTCAGGATGTGCGGTGTGAGGAGGAGAATCCCAGGGGCCTAGGCCATGGACACTTGGCTGCTCTTTAGTCCATGACAGTACAGCTAAAGAGAAACCGTATATATATATATATATATATATATATATATATATATATATATATATATATATATATATATATATATATATATATATATATATATATATATATATATATATATATATATATATATAAGCGAGGTTTGATTGTGTAATAGAAATAATAGAATACAATCCTTGTGTAGCGTGACCTCAGGTAATGTCAGGTGGCTAGGAACACATATTCTCAAGCTGCCAGCTGGTGCGACATCATGCATGCATTCATGTTGTTCTGGACGAAGACATCAGGCCTCTTCCGTCCTACTGCTGGAGAACAATTGTTGGTATTGACACGGACGAACAAATGGCGCTGTTACTTATACTCAGAGCTATGTAATTTTGCACTTCTTGATTTCCCCAGTGCCTATCTAAGTGTGTCTCGACGGTCAACGTGGCATTACTTTTATATTTTGTAAAGAAGGTTCTCCATATGTATGTCATTATTTTCAACTTAATTTTCAATATTATACAGTACGTGAAAAGGTATTTTCATCTTTCCAGCATTTGTCCATATTCTTCTAAAACAGTGGTTCTCAACCTTGTTTGCCCCATGCACCCCTTTCACCATATGTCAGAATGTCATTCCCCCCTCCTCTCCAAGATTGTCTGCCTCAAAAAGTGCATTCCAAATAATATGCATATAATACTGAAAATCCTTTATTTTTTCCATATTAGTACATATACATTTACAATTTTACATGGATTATTTTTATAGTGGAGTTTTACAAATTAAATGCCAATTGAAAATGTTGATGGATTTATAAAACTTGAATAAAAGTAAAATAGTTTTTTATATTTATAATGAATTACTTAACAGACCAAACTGAAGCATAATGCAATAAACAAAAAGTTCAATAGAATACCAGGATATTGTAAATTTGTAATTAATTTTATTCAGATGAAGATTACAGTCAATGAGAAACCTGTGATTGTTTTTTCTTCGCCAATTCTGGGATACGCGGAGGAGTGCTTGAAAGGGCACAACGCAGGTCATTTTCTACCTCTAATCTACTACGTTGCTTCGTTTTAATTTGCAACAGAGTTGAAAAGCCTGACTCACAAAGATATGTCGACACAAACGGAAGCAATGCACGGATAGCTCTTTCTGCCACTTTTGGGTAGGAATCGCACATCAAGGGCCAAAATTCTGTGATTGATTTCTCATCGAACATATCTCTTGCTCCCGAATCAGTTTCCCCCCCCCCCTGAAAACCTGAATTCCCCCCCTGGGGGGAATTCCCCCCTGGTTGAGAACCCTGTTCTAAAAGGTCATCGCTTTTGGGTTCCCTACCACTTGCCCAAGTACACTAAGCTTGGCTTGGTGTGTGTGACCTATAGAAGTAAGTATCTTTGTAGGTGCCGTTTTGTGGCCTCAGTCTCATGCACGCTTCTTCAAGATATATGTGCTGTATCATCTCAACATCTTGTTCACATCACTTCTGCTGAGGTACAGCGCACCACTGATGTGGATCTCCAGCTCTCCCAGACGGTTTTCATGGTTCATGTTCCTGAGCCAGGGTACCAATTTCGTTGCCCTTCTCTTAAACACTTTCGATTGCTGATGTCTTTCGCCTTCTGGGGATGCTATATTGTATTCTAACGTGATCTATATCACACACTTTACTGTTGCTATACCACACACATCATACACAGAGGGCAGCCCCGAAGTTGGTTGTTACAGCGTTCCGTGCTCAGTTCTTGTATAGTGTTTGTATGGTTCGTGTGGTGCTGCGGCTGAGGGTTGTGAGGCAGCAGTGCTCAGTGGCCACCTGTGTAAAGGGTGGCTCCAATATCTAGTGTTAATGATCAGTTACGAGTGAATCATTCAGAGTTCTCTTGAAGTAATGCCTGCTGGAGCTGGCTACATATACACTCCTAGTTCGGACACCCATAACTCTTATTGATAGAATGATCTAAGGTTAAAATGGCTCCTCCTCTATAGTTTATATGACTTTGTTGTCACACTCTGCCCAGGTGTCTCCTCACCCACTACACTAAACTAGCTAACCATCGCTGGCTGCCTCCTTTACTAGTTACGCCTGGACGCATATTAACCAAATGTATATGCCGTCAGCACCAACACCCTCACCCAGTCAGCCGCTGTCCGCCAGCGGTACAGCCAATCCCGGCCTGCTGCCTACCATGCGCGCTGGCAGTTATCGAGTCTCACGTTTCTGAAGTGACAGCGAAGCTTTGAAGTTTGAGTCTGCAGTGTTGATAATGAAGACAGGTGCATATGTATCATCATATGTTTAATTGTCTGATCTTCCGTAAAAGTTTGAAAATGCGGCTGCTAATTCATGGTAATGTTTGGAACAGCTCTGTTGACTTTAGCAATTGTAGAATTATTTGAAAATTTTGCATGAATGGATTCATTCCTAGAAAGACTGATGATCATAGCCAAGATTATAGTAAGGGTCTGCGGGTGGCGTCTGACACTAAAGGCAATGAGGTTCGGATCTGATAAACCAATTTGGTGTTTGACCCTTTGTCGACGATCTGAAATGAAACTTTGAATGTAGGGGACTAATGATGGGTGCCCTCCCCACTTGCATAAAAGAATTCACAGAGGGCCTAGCTGGCCCATACAATCAGATGTTTTTCAAATCAATCATTGCCATAATGGCAACGTTGCAGGTTACTTAATTGAAAGTTACCAGGACGTGATTTGATGGTTGATTTATAGTAGATGACATAATTAGAATCCCGGGAATATTATTTTTGCGATCAATAGTTTAGACAACCGTACGACACTTTTCTTCCAGACGTGTCCCTCACAAATGACCTAACCTAACCGCCGCCGCCGTGGACTCCCCGGTATAATATAAGTCGTTTGCGATGGAAACTTCATTGAAGAAAGGTGTCTTAAAATTGTCTAAACTATAGATTGCAAAGATAAAATTCCATAGATTCTAATTATGTCCTCTACTATAGATTGACTGATTCAATATCCTCCAAAACTCGCTAAACATTACTTCCATCTACTGCTTATCGAAGTTCAGGGTTACGAATGTAACTCCACTCGGTTGCCATAGATACTTTAGGCAAGGCTATTTTGGTGACTAGTTTCCGTATACTGTTATATGGCACCGAATATATGTTGAATTTAGAAATAATTAATTACCTTAATGGTTCAGAGGTAATTACCCTGATTGTTCAGTAGGTATGGCTGTATTTTATATTACTTTGTTCCTGTTTGTAATAATTGTTTAATATGTTACGTATATTGATTTATAATATGTATGTATTAAGCAAATCAGACAATGTCGTGTATTAGTTAGGTAAAATATGTATTCGCTAAGGAAAATAGCTTGATAACTGGCGACATGGTATCAGCCGATGAGTGGGTCAGTGGGAAGCAACAGACAAGCTTGGCTGGCGATAAAGTATGGTCTGGTCCTGGTGTCCTGGTACAGTTGGTTTGGACTCAGGATATATGTATATGTAAATAAGTGGTTTATTCTTTTGTACTGTTCAAGTGTATGCTATGGCTGAATATAGGGCTTAGGTTAATTTAGGCTGTGGTTGTTTGTATATAAATTGCTCTTTTACTTGTCTTTGTAAACACGTTCCTTATTTTATTGTAATACAAAATTATGCAGTGTATGATTCTGAGGCTTATTAAGAATCTGGCGGATATAATTTTTGACTATTTATAGTGTTTACCCTGCTTCTTGTTGTGACCACTAGTGGCAAGGGTTTGTTTTTTATGATTTCTCGATCAAGCCTCACCTCTTAGTTGACTAGTAGCGCATTTTTGATTAAGAGGAGTGATGGTATAACAATACAGTATCTGAGAATTTAACTAAGTTTGATGAATCATTTAAGATTCTGTGAGAAATGCTGATCTCATAGACGAGCTGTTGGAAATTTATTCTCATTGTAGCATCAGGTGGAGGTGATTTACTAACTGCAGTAGTCCCAATGTTATGGTAAAGGTAAAAGCTTTAAATATCGGGAGGTGGTTGACGAAGTACACAACCCCTCAGTTATTACCAATATTCAGGACTGACAGCTTTAAGACAAAGTTTTCTTTTACCAAACAGTTGTCTGTTGCTATGCAATCGTCTCCTAATTTCAGTATTTATGTTCCTCTACCTGTGGCGTCTCTATCTGCATCTTGACATTACAGGTAAAGTTAGATTGTCATCTAAATTCACCCTGCATCCCACACTGACGAAATATTCCCATCTGTACCACAGCATCTGACCTTCATTTAACTTAGCCACGATTATGTAAGGTATTTCCGCATGTCTTATATAACCACTTAAAACACGCATAGAAAGGTCAGTTGTTGTGTCAGGTAGTGCGTCCAGCTGACCTAGACACAGCGTTTTTTGGGCTATGTGGGGGTGAGGTGTGGCGAGGAGGTCTGACACTGGGAGGTCTTTGCCAACTCGTGTTCAGTCTACCTGTTTTTTCTGTATGACGGCTTCCCTGTCTCTTCGTACTGTAGATACTATGTTTGTTATGTTTGTGAATGTGTGATAGATGTTTGTGAGTGTGTGATAGATGTTTGTTATGTTTGTGAGTGTGTGATAGATGTTTGTTATGTGTGTCAGTGCGTGATAGATGTTTGTTATGTTTGTGAGTGTGTGAAAGATGTTTGTTATGTTTGTGAGTGTGTGATAGATGTTTGTTATGTTTGTGAATTAATGTGATAGATGTTTGTTATGTTTGTGGTATGTGAAAGATGTTTGTGGTGTGTGATAGATGTTTTGAGTGTGTGATAGATGTTTGT